CTCCCTGATGGCTGTTAACTCTGATACTGTTATCTTTAATTTCTTGGCCTTGATTAGTTTCACCAACATCGGGGATCCAGATGGTGATGGGAAAGGGTCTTTTAGCTATTAAATACTGTCAATAATTCCTGTGTAAATTTAATTCCTGAGACTTGAGCTTCACTATTCTGTCTCCTGGCAGATGGCCTGCTCTTGTAGAGAACAAAGGCAACCAATTTTCCCCTCATTATTGACACGGTGTCATGGATTCATAAATAAATCCTATAGATCACTGCCACTCACTCTCCACAAGTGAAAAAGTCCATCTGTATAGTAGAAGAACATACACTGTACTTGGAAAATATTTAGTTTCTGCTGTTTCAAGTAACACGGGAGATATTTCCCCACCCTCAATTTAGCCACCTCACATAATTCTATTGAACTTGAGGTATATATATACACATCTATCTATATATATATATATATATGTGAGGTGGCTAAATTGAGGGAGGGGAAATATCTCCCGTGTTACTTGAAACAGCAGAAATTAAATATTTTCCAAGTACAGTGTATGTTCTTCATATATATATGGTACTCCAAGTCCCCCAAAATATATTTTTTCCAAATTTTCAACTTCAACTCTGGTACCTTCACCAAAATATCTATTTAATTTTACTGTGCTTTTCTAATTACCATGCTTAGGATTAATTGGTCTCCTCTCTTTCAATATTGTTGCAACAATTTCACATTCATAGTGAAATGCACTCTCACTTCAAATCTAGTGTGATGATTTTAACTTAATAAGAAGCTGAGAGTGAAACCTCAGAGCCAAGATTGTAGATTAGATACACTCCTAACCTCAGTTATAACCCTCATTAGATCCAGACACATGGTTTAGTGTTGAAATGATGTCATATTCAAAAATGCAGTTCAACAGACAAAGGTAACTATGAAGGAATTTTATTCTTTACACTTATCTTTTGAAAGACCTTGAAGGTAGTCCAAGCGTATCTATCAATTGTTAAAATATTGTTTCCTTTGTTATCTTCTTCCCTGGTGGGGTTTAGGACATGCTACCCCCGAATATGGTACTTTGGCATTTGAAGAAACAGCAGAAGCAGGAAGGTCACCACTCCTGACCTTCTCCAGTCCTTCTCCCCTGAGGCAGGTCATAAAAGAATCATCAGAGCTTTCTCTAAGTAGGTCATAAGACACTCATGTGAGAGGTACCCCCCCCCAAACCTGTAAAAAAGGAAGGTCCTTATCTCTGAAGACACAGGGACACAAAGAAGGATCTGAACAAACAGGCCTTGCTAAATTCTCCCCAGTTAATTACCATTAGATCACACCCCCTTTGTTCAATCATACTTCTTCATAACTATCCACTGCTTCATCAAACTTAGCATAAAAATACGCAGGTTTCCCTGTCTCTTTGGGTCTTTATTTCTGAAGGCTCCTGTGTCACGTAAAACTTACAATAAATACACTTGCCTGCTTTTCTCTTGTTAATTTGTCTTTTGTTATAGGTGCCTCAGCCATGAACCTAGTGATGAGTGAGAAAAGAGATCTTTCCTCCCCTATCTCCTCATACCCACAATTGTTCCGTACTTGTCTCCTCCAAAACCTCATAGATACTTTATCTTTATTCCTAGGTTATCCTTCATTGTTTTCTTATTTCCTCTTTTCTTTCTCAATATTTTCACTGATTTTGTCTACATAAAATAAACCTTTTAGGAGGATTTGTAGTAGAAAGAGAATGGTGCTGGAAATGAAAAGGTCATCTTTGATGGGTGGCATATTGGTCTCATCACTCTATTCATAATGGTTTCATAAGTGCTGGAAATGTTACTAATTATTTTCAAAGCAACATGAAGAAGAAATTTCACATATTCTACAACTGAGAAAGTGTTAAGTGCTTTATACGTTTGACCCTATTTAATCCTCTTAATAGCCCCCTGCAGGGTAGGACGATCATTTTTCACATTTTTACAATGAGAAAACAAAGGAACAAAGCATCCAGAGCTATACAACTAGTAACTGGTGAAGGCACTTTTTGATCTCAGGGACAGTAACTCTGGCATTAAGCTCTTAACCATGAAATAAGCAGAATCCTAAACCACCTGACAGAAATGCTGTTTTAGATGTTGGTTGGACTACTATCACTATGCTACCTTCCAACTCTGATGATTTCATTGAAATAATTTTGGAAGGTTTTTCAAGGAACCATTGGAAGGAAATATTGCTAAAAAATTTGAAAGGAAGAAGAAAATCTTAAGAAACATCTCTGGACTACTATCACTATGCTACCTTCCAACTCTGATGATTTCATTGAAATAATTTTGGAAGGTTTTCCAAGGAACCATTGGAAGGAAATATTGCTAAAAAATTTGAAAGGAAGAAGAAAATCTTAAGAAACATCTCTGGTAAAATAGCCTGAATTAGTGAGTCAATGTGAACAAGTCCAAGAAAATGTACAAACAAGGTTGATAAAAAAAATCTCTTCTTGGCAGATTTGCATTGGAGGCTGTTGCAATTCATTATGAGAGTCCAGAAAAAATTAATAATCTATATTCAAACTGTGGAAACCAAACAAAAAAATAAAGGATAATAATGATAATTCTATAATAGTCCTTACATACAAAGGGAATAGGAGGCTGAGAAAAGTGAAGTTAAAAGTACAGCTTAAGTAAAGGACACTTTTGCAATGCAGCCTTTTGAGAGGGCAAATCTCCCTCCATTTCCAAACCTATTAAGGTCAATCTGTAAAAGTTTTATCAAATTATTAACACATTCTGATGTTCTCTGAACCAAAATAATAACAGACAGAGCCAAAGACATTTCACCCTGTACAATTAGGAAAGGGTAAGAGAAATTTTAGTGGTGAGACGTTTCCCCTTTAGTAGGTCATGTGGAGCTATGCTAGCCAAAACTATCCAAGTTACTATAGATCAGACCCAAGTGTAAAAAAGTTAAAGGAAAAATCTACGGTTCCTTTCCTAGACAGCATCACATTAATCCTAGCCAAATTTCTGATATTAAGAAAAAGGAGAATATATTTGAAAGTGTTTTATGGCAAACAGTCCTATGTTTATAAAAGAGCAAACCTTTTCCTTCTCTGATATCTACAATACAGGAAAACTGTGCTAGAGAGACAGAGAAAATTCAAACAAAAAATTCCAAAGAACCTATTGTGATAAATGATACATGACAAAATTACATTTAAACAGTTACTAGGCCCAGAGGAATCCAGCAGAGAATAAGTGCAAACAGTATGAGAGTTTTCTACAACTAATTCCTTTGACGAAAAAGACAAAATATGGTTCTTTCATATAATGACAGGGAGGAATAGGAAGCCTGAGAACATAAAATATGTCGTTCAGAAAGAGAGATGGTGTTCACATATATATCAGATTGGCAGTTTTATTTGAAAAGGGTCTCTGGATCTTTGTTTTTAAGAATGGGGAAGGATAAGAGTAGTAGAGAGGAGGGAGAAACACAATAACCTCTTAAAGATTTTGATAGACAAGGCTGTCTAAAGGCTAATTTCAAATTCAGTAGCACATCCGGGGAAAAACACTCAAGCAAATATATTTTTAAACAGGATCACAAAAGAATGTTGTTAGCACATTTGTAAATTTCCAATTCTTTCTTACTATCCTTATCCAACAACCCAAACAAATCAGTGTAAATACAACTTCTTTTACTAATGTCTTTTGAAGCATCACTGCAGTCAGATTGAGTCAAGTAACCATCTGCTGCAAATACAAATAGAGCTACATTCAAGAATTATATTACACAGCCTTCCTAGCAAAGTTCTTACGTGCAAGCTGTTCTTGTCAAAATCAGAACCATTGTGATGATGCATCTTAATATTCAATCAGACTTTAAGTAAAGAGTGACAAAAGTCCACATATGGATGACAGCTGTTTCTTCAGTAAATATTTTCCCATTTATTGAATGGAGGCTTATGGCAGTTTAGGATATGTTCCATCAGACATTTCAGCCTGAACTGCCTGAGGACAATTAAAACAATAACAAGGATAAAATTTCAGTTTTCAAATCTCTTCTACAGTTTACATCTTAAAAAATAACATCTCCAATTAAAGCGGTATACTATGCCATTAATTTGAGAGTATACTTGACAATACTGACTGGTGAAAGAATTGAATTTATAAGATTCTATACTTTTTGCATTTCACCCTCTAATAATACCACAATGGTTGTAAAAAAAAGAGCATAATTCCTACATGGATGTTCTAATCGTATGAACAAAGTTGATGAGAATTTAAAAACTTTATGACTACATTTCAACAAATTGTGAAATATTATAAAAGATTAATGAACCTATTATTAATGAAATATTGAAAAAGATTAATGAACCTAAATGAAGGTCAGATAAGATAAGGCCTCATTTTAATCAATAAAGTGGCTGGCAAAATTAGAAAGTTAAAAAAAAAATGAAGGCAGATTCTGATAAGGAATTCACTAACTCCATAATAATACCAATCAATAGTTCCAAAAAAAAAAAAAAGAGTCTAAACTAACAAAGATACACTTAATGTTTTCCTAGTAGCCTTGAACATATATGGTGTCCCTTTTATAAGGCCTAAATGTTATGCTGGACGGGTATGTTAACAATACATCTGTCAAGTAGCCTTTTTAACATTTGCTAATTACAAGATCCACTGGTAAGTACTAAAATACCTCCTCTCTTTAAACTAAAACTATCATGAGGCCCTTCTCTTGTGACCCCAAAGCAATTCTTGGGAGGGTAGAGGGTTGTTTGTGTCTTAGGTCAGACCTGCAATATTGACGTGTTAAGGAATTGGTATTTCCCAGCTTCTCCATGGTGAGTTAGGTTTTTTTCCCTTCCTGCAATGCAGTTAAATTGAAAATTTTTTAAAAAAATTTGAATCTGCAGTCCTATTTTGAAAACAATTTTTGTCAGACTCTAATAATCTTTTTTTTCCTTTTTAACGGAAACTATTTCAGACCAAACACTATAAAGAAGAATTACTTACCCTGCTATTGGATCTAGTGCTATTGCCTTAGGATTATGAAGCTCCAGATCAATCAGGGTGACACATACAGACCCGTTGTAATTACATACATAGATCCGGTCACTGACATGGTCCACAAAATAGAGATTTTTGGTGAGCCAGTCAATTGCCATTTGTTGTACATCTGAAAAACATACACAAAATCATTGAATCACAGGTGTAAATCTAATAGCATAAGCTAAAAAATACCTAAGTCTACCCACACCATCACAGAGGGAATTTCAAATGTATAGTCATTTTTATAAGAAACTGCCAAGAAAATCCATTGCTATGCCAAAATAAGCAACATATTTATTATGCAAAATAATGACAACCTCTTGGCACCTTTCTTACTGCTGTCTGAAGACTGAGAATGACCTAAATAAATGAACAAAGAATTTTTACACACTATAATAGAGATATTTACAATATAATCTTCTTCTTACTTTTTGCATTTGTTCAAAATAGTTCATTCAATCCAAAGGACATAACAGGCTCAATGGCACAGCTAAATTCTGTAGCAGTAAAAGGAGTAAACACGTCTTGTAAACTTAGGGCAAATCCTTATTCTCAGATTCTCTTCTATTTAAAAAAGGAAAAGGTGGAGAAGGTAGAAAAGAAGATTTGTAGGCTCTCTTTGCTTTAAAAAAAAGGACATAAAACTTGGAAATAAAGCAAAAGAACGGGTGCTAGCTTCTTCCAATGGCATATGTGTGCATTATAAGAAAAAAAAAAAAAGAAAAAAGAAAAAAGCCTGTTGAAGGACTAGTCAATCCTCTAGAAGAGTGCTGTACAATAGCACTTTCTATGATGATTAAAATATTCCACATCTATGCTGTCCAATAAGGGTGCCACTAGCCAATTG